TGTTCCCATGGTCTGATCATGCTGGTTCGCGAACTCACCAAAGTTTATCCTGCCTTACACCTTTAAACCAAATTTCATCTAAATCGTACAAAATTTACTCAAGTTATCGCATTCACGGACGTATACATACATATATCTAATATATAAAATTCTCGTGTCACAGTGTTTGTCTGCAAACTCCTCCGGAACGACTTCACCGATCGTTATGAAATTTGGTGTGTAAATTCTGTAGGTATGCGAATCGGACGTAAACTATTTCCCGTTTCGAAATTCTTAAAAGGGCTCCGCCCCATTGGCTCTGGAGTTTCCCATGTTAACCTTATGAGAAATGGAATTAATGAATCTTAACAGCTGTTTCAATTAAACAAGTTGGTTCTGTTCTATGATGTTCAATAGCATTAAAGTTACAAGGATTACCAACAGGGTGCAGCACTATTATTTCTTTTACATTTATGACAACAGCTAATTTGCAACCAAAAGGTGAGTGAGCGTAGCGAACGAACTTCAACCTGGAGGCGAGTTAGCGTAGCGAACGAGCTAACCTGAAGGCAAGTGAGCGCAGCGAACGAGATCCAACCTAAAGGTGAGTGAGCGTAGCGAACGAGCTCCAACCCAAAGGTGAGTGAGCGTAGCGAACGAACTTCAACCAGGACGTGATTGAGCGATGCGAACGAGATCATCTTGAAAATTAAACGTAACGGTACTTTCTTTCCATCGGTCTGTCTTAGGGGAAACCTATAACTTAGGCGATACGAAGTTCGCCGGGTCAGCTAGTATACATATATATATAAGTCTATATCTATATACTATTATAAAGAAGAGGTGGTGTCTGTGTGTGTGTTTGTATGAGCTAATCTCAAAAACTACTGGTCGGATCGGGCTGAAATTTGGCATGATGATAGCTCACATTCCCGATTAACATATAGGCATATTTTTATCCCAAAAAATCCTTCGGGGCTCCGCCCCAGTGGCTCTGGAGTTTCCCATGTTAACCTTATGAGAAATGGAATTAATGAATCTTAACAGCTGTTTCAATTAAACAAGTTGGTTATGTTCTATGATGTTCAATAGCATTAAAAGTTACAAGGATTACCAACAGGGTGCAGCACTAGCACTATTATTTCTTTTACATTTATGACAACAGCAAAAGGTGAGTGAGCGTAGCGAACGAACTTCAACCTGGAGGCGAGTGAGCGTAGCGAACGAGCTAACCTGAAGGCAAGTGAGCGTAGCGAACGAGCTAACCTGAAGGAAAGTGAGCGCAGCGAACGAGCTCCAACCTAAAGGTGAGTGAGCGTAGCGAACGAACTTCAAAAAGAACCGAAATTTCTTAAACCATCTCCTCACTCATAACTGCTATAAGCATTTGATACTTATATGCCAACCCCGTACGAAGGACGGGTACTCTGCTAGTATATAATATATTTACATACATATATAAAAATTTGAACAAATTGTGTTTTTGGCCTCTGGGGACATAAAAATGAAAAAGTAAATCGGCCCGGGTCTAGGTCTTAACCGTGCCACCTACGGTAATAGCTACTTCCCTATAGGGAAATTCGCTAAAAACATAGTTTGTATATTTTAAGAAACTCGAGTGTGTAAAATAAAATGTAATTTAGCTTGGAAGTAAAAAAATAAAACAATCGCAAAACAGTTAGATTCAAAATTAGATTTTGTAGAGTCAAATTAATGAATTGTGTGGCCAATTGCAGAAATTACTTTGTGCTGATCTTTGGATCTGAAATGTTAACTATGGATCTTATGATTTTGGATGTTGTGAAGTTCTCCCGAGCAAGCATAGGAAAGCCAGAAGGGAAACGATTATTAGGAAGGCACAAGAAGAAATGGTGAGATAGTGTCTCCAAGGACGTCTGAGAAGTGGGGGCAGCAGTGGAAGTGGCAGAAGATAGAGAGCAGTTGTTGGTGCGGCCAAATCCCGCCTTGGGCATGAATGGTCATGGGAGTGAGTGAGTGAAGTTCTCTTGAAGAGAAGGTGTATGTTTATTTCAATAGACATGGTTTAGCCCCTGAGCTGAATAGATGACTATAATATAATATAAATACCTCGTCACAGCTCTGAAGTTGCTGTATATTACAGCTGTTTCGACATCAAAATGCCATCCTCAGATACACATACATCCACCTGAATTGGCGTCGTTAAACTGTACACACACACGAACAGAAAAAAACATAAAAACACGGCCAGTCAGCTTCCATACTCGTAGCAATCATGTACGCGACAGGCCTGTCTCTTGTTTTACGTGTTTTTATGTTTTTATCGTGTTCAAGTGTGTGTACAGTTTAACGACGCCAATTCAGGTGGATGTGTATCTGAGGATGGCATTTTGATGCCGAAACAGCTGTAATATACAGCAACTTCAGAGCTGTGACGAGGTATTTATATTATATTATAGTATGTTATTTGTTGGAGAGTATATTTTGTTTATCAAACTAAATGGCGTCAGATACAAATATAATGTGCAACTCGTCTTCAATGTGTCTTTTCTTCTACTTCATAAAAATGACAGAGGCCCTACTTGGCAAGTCTCAGTTAACGCTAAGCTCATGTTTAGAAAGGTGGCATTTTGCTCACTTGCTGGACAAATGACAATTTACTGCAAAATTCGAGCAATTGCAAAGTATTACAGGAGTTATTTAAAAACAAATAAGTCATAATTTCCAATGGGTTTTTAAAAGTGTCAACTCAAAGATTATATAACTAATTCAGTCATTTTTTTTAATAGCGATTTAATTTGTTCACATTACTTAAGAACTACCTGATTTCCTGCATAACCTGTCTGTCACAATTTTACTTGCTTCAATTTGGATTCTTTTGTTAGTTGCTGTAATTAACGTCAATTATATTTATCTGAGAAAATGCTGGGTTAAAAGACCTGATGTTGTTCAGGTAGTTTTTTGTTTCTGGTGTTAATAATAATTAAATCCTTCTATGCAAGTTTTAGTAAAAGCTTCTTGGATGTAAAGGTTTCTTGGATCATATTGTTCGTAAACCACTTGACTTTTATGAGAACCCTTGTCGTAGGGTACCAGTTTTATTTAGCTTTAGAGAGGGTTTCCTCTGTAATTATTACTAAAATAATCCTTGTTTCCTACTAAAAATAAAATGGTAACACTTTGCACTTTGGCTAACATCCTCATTTATTGTTTGTAGGAATCTTCATCTTGTAGGCGTTCTTCATTTATAAATAACGATAATAAATTACTTAAAAAAAACATCAACTCTACTTCTTCTACTTGGTGGCGTTCGATGTCTTTTCTATGATTCTATAGTTTGCAAACTGGTTCTTTCGAGGATTCCTCAAGAAATAAAGTACGGTACTGTGTCAATTCATTTTTATTTGATGAATCATATCAAGTTCTCCAGGCTTTCTCGATTTTTTCCAATGTAGGGGTGCGTTCACAAAGAAAGCTGGTTACAAGTAATTTACTTGAGAATGCTGTTGTGTGTTCACAACAAACGCTTGCATTTCAAGGTCATAGTAGTCTCAGCTCTGGTTGAGACAATATCTTCCTCAAAGTGATGAAGAGTTATTTTTGATTGAAAATTTAGAATTAAAAATTTGTAGAAGGAAAGTAGGTGTTCATGAAATTAACCACGGAAGAGGTAGGTTCGGGGAATACCACCATCTATTTCCTCAATTGAAATTTTTTTTCTTATGTGCGAATTGAGTTAACCACGTTTAATTACATCCTCAAGAAAACTGAAATTGTTTTAGTGAAGTTTTGGGGAAATTGGAATAAGAAACCTATCCATGCACCAGAACAAATTTTGGACCAATAATAAAACCTAAAAATTACTCGAACTGAGTTTTAAACACCCTATGTAGCTGATTAATTATGATGCAAATAATATTGTGAGATATATTCAAATGTTTCAATTTTCTAAGTAAATAAAGTAAAAGTATGCAAGTTTCATCCATAAAAAAGCCAACACTTAATTAATTTTTAATTAAATGTGTCTGTCTATCATCTTAATTCATGTATGTTATTTGTCCTATTGGTTACGTTATTAAACATTCTAGGGAAAAACCCACAATACGTGGGTAATATATATTTTTTTTTTAATTGGAAGCTCTAAATACTTGAGCTATCAACTCATCGACATCCATACTGCACTGATAGTAGTTTGTAACTGACTGGTTCGGTCAACAAGCGCCGGAAAACAAGTATGAAACGTTCTTGCGTGCTTGTCAGAGCTTGTAACAAGCGCTTGCTAGCCGGCACAAGCTTTGTCTGTGAACGTACACGCTTGATACTATGTTGACTTTTCTCACGCCGGTTCGAGCTTGCAAGCGCTTGTAACCAGCTTTCTTTGTGAACGCACCCTAATACAGTATGTACTTGTGCAAACCCAAATTTGAAAAATTCAAATAATAAATATTTAATTTTAACCAAATCAGTAAATTTTAAACATAAGTGGTTTTCCTTGACTTTTAAAAATAAATTTCAACAGCAATTAAATTATCCAGCTGATCATAATGTAAACAAATTGTTCTTCGTAAGGATAACATGAAGACTTTAAAAGCCACTAGAGCAGAGCCCAGGAATTTAAAAAAAAAATATAAGGTCAGTTTGCAAATCTACGCGATATGTTCTTTTCAATGAGATGTGAATGGTAAAATTGTTTAAAAAAGGCGAAGTTCAAAGGGCAAATTTCATGTTGGCGTATTAGTTATATAGATATAAATCTGTTTTCTTTTTTTGACCAAAGTTTTTTGACGAATACTTATTCTGGAATGTTTCAAAACAATGAGGTGTTAATAATCTTTACGACAAAAAGGCCTTTCTGAGCCTTTTAAAAAGATTAATTATGATTGTAAATCATCATTTATAGCAAATTATGTTATAACACTAAATATGATAGCTAAAATAAATTAGGTACAGGAATAAAACTGAGGTGATATCTCTTTCATCCACCATTCCTTTAATAATCTGACAATATTAAAATGCCCCTTTCCTATTAAAATACAAAAAATTAATAAGTCTTGATTGAGTTAATATAAAATAATACCACAACTGAACGTTTAAAACCATGTTAGATTCATATTAAACCCTTAAATAAACCATTTACAAAAGAAAAAATAGGAAAACTACAGTATGTCATTGTAAGCTCATAAATATTAATACATTATTACAAATTAGACAAATAAAATTATATAATATTAAACAATATTTTTTAGTGTTCACAATTTTTTTAATACATGTTCAAATAATTTGAAGTAACTGCCGTAACTGGGATTATTTTAACACTAACCAATACACGTAAGCAGGTGAGAAAGTATCGTTGTAATCAAACATATCTATTTTCAGAAAAAATGTTATGATGTACTTTGTCCAAATTGATTTTCTCTGTTAGGTTTTCTACAGAATTGAACACAACATTTATTTCACTTGATTTCAACTAATCAAGTTGGATTGTCAAATCAGGCCTTAAATTATGGAATTCTAAATCAAATAAACACAACATTGTCATTATCATTTTTTGCCAATAGTATCATTAAGAGTCGGCTGGAGTCAATAATTTTGCATTGCCGTTGACCGTCAGGGCATCAGATCCCAGGCGAACAATGGTTGTCCGAGCTCCGATCAGCAAAACATACGTTCACGTTGAAGCATATTAATCATGCACCATAAGCTTAATTAACTAACAAGTAGAAAATTGTATGTGATTCTTAAATATATTTTCTGTGTGTATTAATTTTCGGATCATTTAAACAAGTTTAAGTCAATAGACAAAATAAGAACAATTAAAATTAAAAAGTAGATGGCAAATCACATTTGTGGTTTCAATAGCTTTAAAATGGGATATTTTGCAGCTTTTTATCTTAATAAACAATGCCGTAATATGCTTCAACCATAACAATGGCGTTATGGGCAGAAAATCCAAGATGGCCGTCGGTCCTGCCGACTGTTAATTGTTATATATCAGATCTCAGGCATACAATGGTAATAAATTATCAAGAGTTGCTGTCTGACCCATATTCCCTGTACCTTTTTTGAACCATATAAGTCTCCACTCAAATCTGAAGAGGTTTTACCTGGTTATCATCAACATCCCCTCTGATGTATTGTCTGAGTTCAGTTTTTGCGATGCTACTATTGTTAATTCGCTAAGGCGAATCACTACTGCAGATGGTGTTTCATTTATAACCAATTTTTCATTTTTTATAGGAATTTGAATCCCTTCCAAAGCCAACAAGAGATCTTTGGCAGAAAATTTACCTGTTCCATCGGGTCCAACACATCTGTAAAGGCCCATCGTATCATCTTCAGTAATTTTAGCGATTGGGAATATAAGCAATTTCTTTTGCTTTTCTAGTTCTTTTATTTCTTCCTGTAAGAGAAAACCAAGACGAGGAGTATCACTTATAATCTTAAATGCTTCTGCCCAGTAGTGTGCTGTAACATCTCCTTTAATACCCAGTGTAAGATTGAATGTTTCCACGTTAATTGCATGTCCAGCACCGGCTTTAGCTGCATCAAGCATTTTTGTATACAAATTGATACATTTTAAGAATTCATCTTTCACAAAACCCAGGTAAGCCTCAAGTATGTCTTGTACATCTTTAAGACCTTCTTTTTGTAGCTGGTTAGCTACTTTGTTACTGATTTCCAACAAATCAGAAGTCACTGGATGAATATTTTCATCACTGTTGCCTTTCAACATATTGTTTTCCAAAGCACTTTCAGTTTTAGCATTTCTAAATATCGTGCTAACATATTCCGAGCTGTTTTCCGTGTTCACTGTTGCATGTATAGCTGTTGCATCAACAGGGGTTTGGAATTTTTGATTGTTTTTTCGTGATTCTTCCAGAATCTCATTTGCTTCCAACTCAGCAGCTATCACTTCACTGTTAACTCGGTGTGTAACCGCAAGAAATTTATGTTGTGCCCATGCTGATGCTTTTTCAAAGAAATGAGAAAGCTTTGTCTTGATCCAATTATATATCTTCCATAAAGTGTCTTTTATCCATCCGTAAATCATAGATATTTCTTCTTTGAAGTTATCCTGTACCGTAGTAAGAAATTTGCAAAGTTGAGGCAAAATATCTATTAAATCACCTTTGCCTGATTTCAGTTGCTGAACGTATCCCACTGCTTTCAAAAACATGATTCCATACTTTCGAATACCAGGAACATACTCATTTGCTATACTTAAAAGTGAGTCTGCCTTCTGAGTGTATCTATCCACAGGAGGAATAGTGAAGAAAAATGATGCCACGACCAATCCAACACCAGCCACAAAACCCAAGCATTTCCAAAATACGTTTACGTTTTGCCTCAAGGCAACAGGAGATGAGGCAAAATCAATCTTCAACTTTTTTCCAACATTGTACAGACCATTTACAGGAAAACAATACTGACAAGGGGGTAGATCATTGTTGTTGAAAAATGCGTCCCAACTGTTGAATAATGTAAGGTTCATATCTATGTATTTTGTTCTCTCATTGGATATTAAGACAAATACCGGCATTTTGCAGAGGGTTCCATTTTGTTTCATGTTAGTGACAATGACAATAAAAGAGAGCTTGATTTCTTCTTCACATTGTTGATTAATGATCTGAAGACTTATCTCACTAGGGGTTGAATGTTTGGTTTTATTCATTTTTGTGTGTAAATTCTTAATCGAGGATACTTCTTCCATTAAAGTCCTTAAATTAGTCAATGATATTCGTTTGTATGGTTCCTTGAGTGATTCAAACACTTTGAACTGTTCTTCAACAGCTTCCAACTGCCATTCATCATCTGCCATCTTGAGTTAATTTGGTCCTTTACCTGAAACAAAACCAACTTTTTAAATTACAGTACTTACAATATATTCTAAAACGCATCGATTTAGAAGATGATTCTCGGAAGCGTCACATCCGACTGTAGATGCGGTTATCTGAATTACTATCGAGTCATGTCGACCTATCCGTCACTGACAGTCAACACCAGAATCCAGCTGGTGTTAAGAGTCTTGTCTCTCTTAACACCAACATCTTTTTCATCTACATCTACATCTTTTTCGGTAGATTCTAAATGTATCTTACACGGGGTGTTGAAAAGTTTTTAAAAAGAAGTACTTGGAGCCTGAGTAAACCTGCAGACCAAGTGAATTTCCAACTACCTAGCTGGCTTTTCTCTGAAATATTCCATTAAAACTGTCAGATTTACTATCCATTAAAATAAAAATTATTTTTAATGAGTACTTTCTGCAGGGAATGTAACTAAGTGTGTTCTTTATTTAAACAATAATAGCTTAGTATGAAATAAAATAATTGGCAAAATTTGATCAAAATATATTCCTAAACAAGCAAAATACAACAGTTTATTTATTCTCCAGAAGAATAACATAAGAATTTTAAATTTTTGAAAATTTCTCTGTAACCCATTTGGCATAAAACGCCAATCAAAATACTAAATTATTTGTTTTATTAAGCTCTACAAAATACTCCAGAAAGAAATTTCAAAATTCTATGTTTAAGGGGATCAAAAATGGGTAAACCAAATTTTACCCCATTCCTATTGGAATGGGCATAACCAAGGGATCATGCTGGCGAACTCGTTCAGATAAACATAGGTTTACACGTTCGTTCCTATCGAATCTCATCAAGTTATTGTGCTAACAGACATATCATACATACAAAATTGAATGGTTTGTGTTTTTAGTCTGGGGTCATGTAAACGAAAAAGTAAATCGGTTCTAGGTGTAGGTCTCATTATGATACTTATGGTAATAGCAATAGCTTATCCACTATAAGAGAAATTCGATAAAAAGTGGATTTTTTTCTTTGCCTCAATGTTAGCTGTGTCCAAAATAAAAAAGCATGATTATAAGTTAGTTTTGATATGGTTATGTTTTGTCTTGGCTACTTGATTAGTTGTGTGTGACAGACTTGTTTATTAATCATTAATACAATGAAATAAAAATGTATTTGCGAGTTGCAGTTTGCTCCAACTGGAACCGTTGAGACTGTTCAACAAAGTTTCTTCACCCATCGTACGCAGTCATGACAGTAGCATCCGTTCTAAATGTGTTCTGGAAGTTTCGTTAAACACTCACGTTAGCTCCAGTTTAAGCAAATATCCGTTGAAATTAATAATTTCCATGAATTTGCTACAAACTTAGATATAAACCAGCATGTAGATATAAACCCACATCTTATAGTGAAACCTCAAAAACAAATAATATTCAAGAATGTAATTTTTTAGAGATAAGGCAGGCAGTATTCACAGCGAAATAACATATACATATAATAATACATAAAAATAAAACAAGGATTTTTGTAGACGAGAGTCTGTTAATATTGAATACAGTATTAACATACAGGGCCTGAGGAGCTAAAAAATTGATTTAGAATTATCTCTAGATATTAACAAACTAAGTCCAGCAGTGATGACTCTGTGAACACTGGCTCAATGAGTCAAACTACTATGTTGCACATACAATTCATAACTATAAGCTCATTTCAATAAGTGTAAGAGATACAAAACAGAAGGGAGGTGTATGTATATTAGTTAGGAATGATGTAAAAGCAACTGAATGTAGCAGTATAAAAAAGGTTTATGAGGAATCGGTTTTTGAATGTGTGGGGGTAACTCTTGATTTGTCTGTAGGATGCAATGGAGAAAAATGTTTGGTTGTAGCCATATATAGAACACCAAATAACAGCTTTAAGCAATTCATTGATAAACTTACTCATCTTTTAAACCTGTTAGCAAACTAAAAATAGCTATTTACATTACAAGTGTAGTAAGAGCGTTTTTACATCACGCAGGCATAATTTACCTAAGTGATGTATACACGCTCTTGCGAAACGTGTAACGTACAAGATTTTACCTGACCCGACAATATACAGGGGGTTACATACAATATTCTTCACTATCCATTTCACTCATATTCAAACAGTAACGTTCTTTTACAAACAAAAGCTAGGTTAGGTTAGGAAAATACTTAAAACATAACAATAACATTCAAGCGCACAGCTGATTTCTAGCATTGAATGTCCTTGGCTCCATAGAGTATATTTTTTAAGTTAAGCATTCAATGTTATTTAAATGGGTTTTACCTCACCGAGTGAGTTTTTCTCAACTTTACATCACTCGCGAAGTAAAGAGGTTCTGGTTGTATACATCACGCTTGGGATAGGGAAGTTTAACATAGCGGGTTAGGTAAAAAAATAAAAACATATTTTCGTGTGGAGATTTTAATATTAACCAGCTGAGTAATGACAATGAAAAGCATACTTTTAATTCTGTTCTCAAGTCTTTTAATTTCAAAGTTACTATACTGACACCTACAAGAATAACAAAACTTTCTAGGACATGTATCGACAACATTATCACTAATATAGGAACCAGAAATGTACGAGTAGAGGTAATAGAATTGGGTTTATCTGATCACACTGCTCAGTTATTGTTCGTAAAAAACAAAATAGCTATTTACATTACAAGTGTAGTAAGAGCGTTTTTACATCACGCAGGTGAATGTTGTGCAACGAGCGAAGGCGAGCTGCATAATTCACCGAAGTGATGTAAACACGCTCTTGCGTAACGTGTAACGTACAAGATTTTACCTGACCCGACAATATTCAGGAGGTTACGAGCAATATACTTCATTATCAATTTCACTCATCTTCAACGTTCATTTACAAACAAAAGCTAGGTTAGGAAAATTCTTCAAAGCATAACAATAAAATTCAAACACACAGCTGATTTCTAGTGTTGAACGTCGTTGGCTCCATAGAGGTATATTTTTTAAGTTATCCACTCAATGTTATTTAAATGGGTTTCATTACATCACCGAGTGAGTTTTTTTCAACTTTACATCACTCGAGAAGTAAGGAAGTTGTATACGTCACGCTTGGGATAGGGAAGTTTAACATGGCGGGTTAGGTAAATATAGTTACTAAGAAGGAAATTATTTCAACTAGATTGTTAAGTTCTAAGAAAAGAATTGAACATTTTTCTAATCTGTTAAGTAAGGAGGATATTATTGTGTTTATTTCTAGTGTAGTTCTAGTGTTTCTATTGTGTCTAGTGAGGACTGGTCTATGTGTTTGTCTTCAGTAGGTAGTAATGAAGCTTATAACGGGTTTTTCTCCGTATTCTATGATTTGTTTTTGCAATGTTTTCAAACTAGAACATTTACTTCAAATAAAAAGTCTAAATATGGGTGTGACTGGATGACAAAAGGATTAAAAATCTCAAGTAGGAATAAAAAAGAACTCCATAAAAAATCAAAGCAGACTTCTGACCCAAGTTTTCAAATGTACTATAAAAACTACAAAAATATCTTTAAAAGACTTGTATTTGCAGCAAAAAAAATAGTATATCTTCAAAAATCAAGCATTCCAATAATATTGCAAAAACAACATGGCAAGTAGTTAGGAAAGAGACTGGATTTATCTCAGATGGTTTTCATTGTAATGAGTTGTTAATTGGTGACAATAACATTGTAAAGGGTCCAAGAGATATAGCTGAGGTTTTTAATGACCATTTTAGTAGTGTGGGGCACAGTCTTCCATCGGGGGTTCAGTTCAGGATGCAATAATAAATTACATAAATAATGAAAAGGTACAAAGCTTAACTTTTTCATTTAGTCCAATCACAAAAATAGATATGATTAAGACCATAGCAAGCTTGTCGGCTAAACAGTCATCTGGGTGGGATGAAATCCCAGTTTCATTAATTAAAGAAATTAGTAGTATCATTTTGACTCCATTGGTGCACATCTCAAATATTGTATTACATACTGGAGTTTTTCCTGACAAACTAAAATTTTCCAACATTTTTCCAATTTATAAGAAAAACAGTAATAGAAGTCTAGATAAATATAGACCAGTAGCACTGCTTCCATCATTTTCAAAAATTTTGGAGAAGATTATATTAAATCAAATGGTCACTCATTTAGAAAAGTATAATCTTATTAACGAAAAACAATTCGGTTTTAGACAGGGAAGATCAACAGTTGGCAGTATTTGAGCTGGTAAGTGACTTGTTGAGGGCCTTGGATGAATCACAGACAACATTATTTGGAGTTTTCTGTGATTTGTCCAAGGCTTTTGATTGTGTCAGCCACGAACTGCTGCTAACCAAAATAAGTTATTATGGATTTAGAGGCATAGCACATGACCTGTTTGAATCTTATCTGACAAAACGATTCCAAAGAGTTAAAATGTTCGATGATGACAGAATTGCTCACTTCTCAACTTGGAGGGAGGTTGTCTGTGGGGTGTCGCAGGGATCTATTTTAGGGCCAGTATTGTTTATGTTGTACATTAATGATTTGCCAATCAACATTAATACTCCACTTTATCTTTTTGCAGACGACACTACAGCAATAATTATGGGTCAAAACAAACAAATAACAAAAGTAAAGCTTTTAAATACTCTCCAAGAAATATCTGACTGGCTATCCAAAAACTGTCTTAGTTTGAATTGCTCCAAAACAAAAATCTTAGCTTTCACTTCTAACAATAGAAACAAACAAATAAATGAGGGATTCTTCATGCCAAATGAAAAACTTTGTGAAAATTCCCTTAGTGTGAACTTTTTAGGTTTTACACTTCAGGACAACTTAAAATGGCATAATCAAATTCTGGCCATACAAAAAAAAACTTAATAAATATCTTCGTGCTATTAGAACCAACATCTCAGATATAAAGACATGTCTTCAGGTTTATCATGGTTATTTTTTATCAATTGTTAGGTACAGCATCATCCTTTGGGGTCAAAAAGAGGCCATTCGAGCAATGTTTAAGCTAAAATTTAGAAAATCGTGTAAACAATAT